CTTCGTGTGGCCACGTGGAATGTTCGAACGCTCACTGCGGAGGAGAGGCTGCTACTCCTCTGTCGGGAGTTGGACCGGTACCGCCTGGATCTCTGTGGCATTCAGGAGGTCCGGTGGACCGGTTCTGGCTCCTGCCACCATGAGGGGTGGGCAGTCCTCTACTCGGGGCAGCAGACTGCCAAACAACAGGGTGTGGCTCTTCTTTTGAACAAAATAATGAAGGGGGCATGAGAGTGTGGCGGTGAGGTGTGGGAAGCTGTAAGCCCCAGGATACTTTGGGCTCACCTTCCCATCAACTGGAGGCGAGGAGTGGTGGTCGTGGTTACTTATGCCCTCACCGAAGACGAACATCCGTGGAGGGATGCAGGCAAAGCCGATGAGTCAGATGCCTTCTGTGACCTCCTGTCACAGGTGCTGGCTAAAGTGGCCGCTCGGGATGAGTCATCTTGTTGGGTGACTTCAATGTCGGAGTTGGTCATGATGCTGGCACCTGGTATGGAGTGATTGGAGGGCATGGGCCAGATCAGCTCTATAACAATGGTAGGAGGCTGCTAGATTTTTGTGCAGCCCATGGGCTTGTAATTACCAACACGCTGTTCCGGCATCGGCGCATCCACACAACATCATGGATGCATGCCGGGTCCAAGCAAGAACATCTGCTGGACTACATAGTGACGGACCAGCGGATGCGAGCCCATGTCCTTGACACCAGGACCTACCATTGAGCTGATCTGCCCTCTAACCATCGACTAGTCATCTGTAAGATGCGCCTGCCATTCTTCAACTCCGGTGGCGGGTGTACACCCAGGACCCCATTCCAACCTAAAGTGGCCTGGTCTCAGTTATCTGATGAAAGTTGCAAGCGAGAATTTCATCATCGCGTGCGGCTGGGGTTGGCATCGTCCTCCACTCCTCCTGATGTCGAGGGTAAATGGGCGAGGTTTAGGACTGTGACTCATGCAGCTGCAATGGCTGCTTTGGGTACACGGTCCAGACCTCCCCAGAGACCCTGGCTGACAGAGGAGGTGTTCAGGATGGTTGAGAAAAAGCAACAGGCCCACTGTCATCGGCTACAGAATCCCACGTCAGAGAATGAGGAGGCTAACCGCAGCCTTCGCTCGGAGGTTCGGAGAGCCGTGAGGCGCTGCAAGGATGGGTGGTGGTCGCGGCTTGCTGAGGAGATGGAGTCTGCCTCAGTGGCCCACGATCACAAATCTCTATTTAACGCCATCAAAAAAGTAACCTGCAGCGCCACACCTATTACCATCATTAATGGAAAAAACGGTGATCCAATCTCCGACCCCCAGGAACAGGTTTGCAGATTTGCTGAGCATTTCTGTGAGGTCCTGGGGGAGGGGAAATCCATCAGCCAGGAAGACATCGTGACACAATGTGGGGATGACCCTGCTGAGGCTGCAGTGCCTCAAATATTGGAAGAAGTCACCACCTGTGAGTGGCTGGCTGAGGTGCCATCTGTTGAGGAAGTATTGAGGGCGATCCTGAGTCTGAGACTAGGAAAGGCACCGGGTAGAGATGATCTCCCAAGCGAAATGCTGAGGGAGGGTAGCGTTTGTACACAGACTGCCCTATATTACATCATAACAACAGTCTGGACCACTGGACGGGTTCCGCAGGATTAGAATGATGCCCTGGTGGTCCCCCTCTTTAAGAAGGGGGACCGCACAGACTGTAACAACTACAGGGGCATCTCACTCCTCAGTGTGCCGGGAAAGGTCCTGGCAAAGATTATTCAACATCGCCTTGCCAGGCATGCTGAGGAGAGGCTTGCGGAGCCCCAATGTGGTTTCAGGAAAGGGCGGTCCTGCACAGATGCCATATTTTCTGTCTGACTGCTACAACAGAGGTGTAGGGAATTTCAACAAGACCTACATCTCTGCTTTATTTACCTGGTCAAGGCCTGTGATGCCATCACTAGGCCTGTTCTCTGGGTTGTTCTTCGTGCTTTTGGAGTCCCTGACCCTCTGCTCACGATCATTAAGGACCTTCATGATGGTGAGCGGGCCCGGGTAAAACTACGTGGCCGGGAGTCAGAGCCATTCCCTGTACACCTTTCGGTGCGACCGGGATGTCCTCTGGCTCCCACATTATTTAACATCTATTTTGACCACGTAGTTCGTGAAGCCTTCATTAGCTGTACCGGGGAATCTCCATTTGGTACAGATATAATGGGAGGCTGATCGATGCCCGGGTGCGGTCAAGGGATGGCTCCCTATTGCTCAACCACCTTATGTATGGCGATGATTTGGTAATAGCTGTTCATTCAGAGTAGGAGTTGGAGACGCTGCTGCTGAGACTGGAGCGTGCCACTAAGAGATGGGGCCTTACCATCAGCCCCACCAAAACTAAGCAACTGCCTGGGTATTTTGTACCATCGGACACTCCACCCCCACAACTCCCAATCGGTGATGGAGCAGTTGTGGAGAGAGTGGAGAGTTTCCCATACCTGGGCAGTGTGCTTATGACCGGCTCCAGTTTAACAGCAGAAGTCTCACTCCGAATCACTCGAGCGGCAATATCTTTTCATCGGTTGCATAACGCTGTGTGGAAGCTACCTGGTCTGTCGCTCCGCACTAAGCTTCAGGTCTTCTCGGCCACGGTCATTCCCTCCCTTCTCTACGCTTGCGAAACGTGGACCCCCCTAATGAAACATTTTGCCGGTTAGAAACATTTAGGCTAGCCTGCCTACGATCCATCCTGGGTTTAACCATCGGTGAGCTCCTCCGGCAGGCAAGGCTGCGTTGGCTGGATCATGTAGCCCGCATGCCCAGCCACCGCATGCCAAAACAGCTTTTGTTCGGCTGGATCGAGGGGGCTAAACGGGCGCGGCACGGGCTAGAGAAGAGATGGAGTGATGTGGTACAGGAGGACGTGGAGCTGAGTGGACTTGCCGATGACTGGTACCAACGGTGTCAAGATCGGCCTCTGTGGAGGAGGCTCGTGAAGGATGCTACTGGGCAGTTGGAGACAGTCGCCCTCCAACAACAACGGAGGGCGGAGGAGTGACACTCACAACAACGAGCGGAGCGCCGGGTGGCTAAAGCACAGCAGGTTGGCACAGTAGGGGGCACAGGTGGTGCATCAGCCAGCCATCTCAGTCATCTTAGTCAGTCGACCCGTGGCACCTGGGTCTGCCCCGTGACCTCCTGTCAGCGGGCGTTCGATACTTCACGTGGCCTCAAGGTGCACATGGCCTGGCACAAGCGTCGTGGTGACATCACCGCCACTTAGTGGCGAATGGCGGTTGTTGTTGTGAGTGTCAGTGTGAGTGTGTCAGTGTGTGAGTCAGTGTGTGAGTGTGTCAGTGTGTGAGTGTGTGATTGTGTCAGTGTGTGAGTGTGTAGCCAGCAGTGGAGAGCGGTGGTGCAGTAGTTAGCGCGTCGCGCTACGAACCCGGCGACCCGATTTCGTTTCCTGCTCACGGCCAACACCCGTGACGATTATCTGAACTGGTCATGGGCCTCCCCTAGTTTGACTCAGCCTTAAATGAGTACGATGTGTAAATGTCGCCACGAGGGAGACAAATGCGGCCGGGCTGTGATGCCAGCCACTCACCCTGTGCCGTGCCTTCATCGGTGCTAGTCGATAGCAGCACTGGCCCCAGCCGTCTGTTCACAGGCTATACGGGGGGGGGGGGGTGGTCTTTGTTTTTTTGTGTGCAGCCTAGCGGCGATATTGGACCGTGCGATATCACTCCCAGATTTGCGATCAACTCCAGCAGCAGTGGCAGCAGTGGCAGCAGTGGCAGCAGTGGCAGCAGCAGCAGCAGCTCCCACCAATTCCCCGTTGCGTCCTGCTGCGGCTTCTTGCATCTGTTGGTCGATCCGTGCCTTCCACGTAAATAGCGGGCGCATGGGGAGGGGGGCGGGATAGGCGGCCCCCTTCCAAAACCAACAGCGACTTTCTAAGAACGCTCAAATGCTCTTTTCTTTTCTTGTCATTTGTTATCTTCGAAAGCTCGGAGAGCGGGGTGGTTTAACATTTTCGGACGACGATGAGACAAGGCGAGCGTCAGGGCCACAAGGGGGCGCCTAGGGTTGCCGCTGCTCGAGACTGGCGATGGAGCGGCAGGCAACGGAGTGAATAATCGCGCGCACCGATACAAACTTCAACTCAACGATATTTTATTTGTGTTTCCACCAAGTGTGATGAGTGAGTCTAGTTGGTAGGGGGGGGGGGGGTACAGGACATTTTGGTCTTACTTGGGCGCCACCATACCAACAATATACACGATCGTGGTGGTGCCAGGCTCGGTGCACGACTTGCGATGAGAGAACACAACAAAACAATAGACGCACGCACATACTGATGGACGCATCGTACGCAAGTGTATATATGTACCTTGCGTAATTCATGCTACGTAATCGTCATCAGCCATTGTCTATCCGCTGCTAGATGAGAACCCGGAGGAAAATCCACGCGACCACAGAGAGAGAGACATCCAAACTCCAGGTGCTCAGGTGCCAGGGTCGGGATTGAACCTCGAAGCTCCTGTACAGCAGGCGAGGTAGTTAACATCTAGCCACCTGGACATTCGCATTAGCTCGCATCTCACTTCCACTCTCACTTCGCACTTTACCATTCACACCTCACCCTTCACCTCACCCTTCACCTCACCCCTCACCTCACCCCTCACCTCACCCCTCACCTCACCCCTCACCTCACCCTTCACCTCACCCCTCACCCCTCACCTCACCCCTCACCTCACCCCTCACCTCACCCCTCACCTCACCCCTCACCTCATCCCTCACCTCACCCCTCACCCCTCACCCCTCACCTCACCCCTCACCTCACCCCTCACCCCTCACCTCACCCCTCACCCCTCACCTCACCCCTCACAACTCTCAGCTCACAACTCTCACCCATGACCTCACTTCTCACCTCGCATCTCCACCCCCCCCCCCCAACATCTCTCACATCGCACTTACTGTGCCCTCGGCTCACCGCTCACCCGGTGAGGCTCACCTCCCTTCTCGGCTCACCTGGCCCCGTCGCTGTTGCTGCGTGTTCGGTCTTTAGCGTTGCATCAGTGGCTCCACTCGCTCCCGGGTGTCGTTCGCTCTCGGAGCGCCCACGTGAGCGATGTGGCTCTTGTATTAAGGCGGAGTTGGGGAGGGGCGGGGGAGGGATCAGAGGGAGGGGGGTCAGAGGGAGGGGTGGGGGTCAGAGGGAGGGGTTGGTGGTTAGGACTTTTGTCTCCAATCTTTGGACCTTCGTGTGTCGTGAGTTCTGTTTGTCGCGTACCGTGGATTGGTGAGCGAGACACCGGAGTGGCAGAGAGGCGCTGCTGCGGCCGTCTGGAACGCTCTTCCTTCCGGTATTAGGTGGCCACTGGCGTTATGCACTTATAAATCATCTATATTAACAACTTATTTCTTTAGAACTGCATCTTGTGTCTAGTTTGATGTCCTTCCCCCGCACCTCCGATTAGCGCGGTTGGGTACGTGCAGTGTCAAAGAAGTTCCACAAACATGCATGCAGCGAGGAGCCGAGGAGGTGGTACTGGCTGGGATCTTCATCATCATCTAATGAGCCGATAAATAAATCAGTCAAAACCATTGTTCGTGTGTGTGCCATTGTATATATGCCGTTTGCATCCGCCTGAAGCGACATTGCAGGTGAACTATTCCGATTAATAAAATCGTCATGGATTAACAGTCATAGTAACCATCAAATCCTTAATTCCATTGTCATCATCATCATAATTATTATTAATCATTACTATTCATTCAATCGTGATCATCATACATAAGATAAATGTGTCATTAAACCCTCCACCACCCGACACAGCCAATTAGTAAGGTTTGTCACGTAAACAGAACATGCCAATTCGTTACTGATACAGCACACCGGTGTGTTGGAGATCAAATCCACAACATTTACAATCATCATAATTATTTATCAATAACTCGGCAACATCGTCATGTGATCAACATCGTTCAGTGTCATTCATCAGTCATCATTGAATCAGCAACCATTGCCAATTATGATCCTCATTCAATCATCATCATAAACAGCGTCATTCATTAGCCACCGTCGTCGTGATTATCCATCGCTGATGTGAATGGGACGCGTTCGTCACTCGTTGTCGCGGAGGTTCGCGGTACGATCCCAGCGGCCACCCCGATTAATACTGCTGTGGTTGTTATAACCGTAAGAATAAAGCAGTACGCGCTGTCCGCTCACAGCGGACGTTACAGATCCCGTGGCGCCATTGGCAAGAGTATGAGATTGTGTGCGGGGTGTCGTCTTCGGTGATGACCTCTGTTTGTGTGACTGTCCACATTTTAAACGCAACCCACAAATCACGCAGCTGGAATGATGAGCAATCGTCGACGTGCGAACGCTTGGCAGGACCCGCCTTAATAGGGGTCCTGCGTCTCTGCGAGGATTTCCAGAGTGTAGCAAGCATCACGGCCAATTATCATCTTCATTATCATTAAATCAATTACGTAAAACAATAATTTTCTATGCAATCATCAAGCGATCAGCAGCATCATCCATGATTAATAATCGATTTTAATCGATTCATGACGCGCCTTTCATTCGTTATCCAGACCCCCCCCCCCGTCCCCCCACCGCCCGCCCCCACCCCTGCTTCAGAAAAACACCCAAAAACACACTCGTCTCTGCTATGGAGAAGACCCATTGCCCGAAACGTCGCCTTCAATATATACATATATACTCCCCTTTAAGGGCGCTATTCTTGTCGACTGTGTGGATGTTGTGCTGCTATTGCTGGTGCCCGTGCGGCACCGCCAACGCAGCAGCCTCACAGGCAATCTGCGTCCAAACGTAACACGAAATACTGACCACAGGCGCGGGCCCTGATCTCCTGACCACAGGGCTGAGACACGACGGGGCGGGTTGGGGCGAGAGGGGACACCGCAAGACCCCCGCACTATTGATACTCGAGCGCCGAATATTCGTGTTCACAAGCCACGACATGAACAATGATTTGCCTCCGTCGATGAGACACTAAAAGTCGAAACCCGGCGCCAAAGTTTCCTTTCTATGAAACCAATGCTGCTGGAGACAATTAACTATCCCACGGGGAAGCGCGGCTGATGGAACGTGTTCAAAAACAGTTTTAAGGGAATATATGTTAAACTTTTTGCGCACCGTACGTAGCCAACCGTGCTAATCGAAGTGAAGGGACAGCTATGGGAAGTTACGAGGCAAATTGTCTGATTATATATTTGTTTGAAGATACTTTCATCCAGCAGTGGATAGACCGTTGCTGCATAGAAAATGATGGTGAGGAGCGCTTGCCCACCCAACATAAAGACAGCTGGGAGTGGGTGCGGGGGGAGGGGGGGTGTTTGGCCATATTTCACCACGCTGGTCAGTGCAGGGCCCTGCTGCAGTGGGGGGCCTGGGTTGGCTCTGACGTCACAGTAAGCCACCATCGCTATCGTTGGTCCGTATATCGAACTCATAGTGGGGCCGAGTTATCGTGTGCAGCACAGCGCCCTAATCACTGCACCACCGCTCTACATAATAAACAATCCCCTCCATGGTAAATGTGTTTTGAGTTAAATCGCGTCAGTATGAATGTGTCGTAAGCCTCCACCACCCGACACAGCCAGTAAGGGGTTTGCCACGTGAACAATGCGTGCCAATTAGTTTACTACTTCAGCCCACCGCTGTGTTGGAGAGTAAATCCCCAGCATTTACAATTTGAGTAGTACGACGTTTCGCTGGTAATTTTATCAACCAGCATCATCGGGCGATTTGCCAGAATAGTGAATCGATTCACCTACATCCGGTCTTGAATAGAGCACGATGACGTCACCACTGAGCAGACGGGGGGGGGGGGGTTATTGTAATTATATAACAATGGAAGATTGCTAATCACAGTTGATTAGCATATGTTGGCTTTACATGGAATACACTTGCAAGGTGTATTACTTCGTTATATGCGTCCAGGCCGCACTAAGCCTGTAGCTGTCAGAGTGGTTAGAATAATTTGTATTTCTCTCAACGTAAATCGATGATACTGCTCTACAATGTTTAGACGGCGTCTGCTTCAGAGATTAAATGTGCTGCTTGTTATGGATTTTGATGTGCTGAATTCAAATATGACAGTGAAAACAACTGATTGGCTACTGTTCCCAAGATATTAAAGTTTTTACATTTTACGTCTATGTATATTGTGTAGGTAGTAGAATTTTACTCGTAAATTTATCGTCTAGCCTAGCCTAGACACAACCCTGACCGTGTAACACCGACGGCGCCGACCGAGACAGCCAACAACTCTCCGGCCGTGCAATATCCAGCGACGAAGGCAGCGAGACGACAGTGATGACGAGACGAGTCCACTCCCAGAACCGGCAGCCCCGAGCTCCCGCTCTCAGCTGCTTTTATGCCACCCAGCGCGGCCTGGATCCACAATGGCCACGCCTTCCTTCTGGAACCCACTAGCAGGTTCCAGGGGCTTCCAGATGGGGTCTTCCATGACCCTTGCCCCAGCTCCTCCGCCCTGCCGACACACAGCCGTGTAGATGCTCACCGGCGTGTGTACTGTTACACTACACATTGATGGGGCTCCATTTGCCCTCATAACCTTTCTCCATTGTTGCAATGTCCTGGTGAAATCTCTCGCCATGCTCGTCGCTCACTGCTCCGCAGTTCGGTGGGAAAGATCTAGATGAGAGTGCAAAAAAATAATATCTCGTGACATACTCTTTGCTTCTTTCGGTAAAGTCACGTAGGTAGAAAAATAAAAATAAATAAAAATGATATATCACTATTATTTGTATTTTCTTTCATTTATTTATTTCTACCTACGCGATTTTACCGAAAGAACCAGAGTATGGATTCCTACAGTCACGAAAGCTTCAAATCAATCTCGTGAAATGTTGCAACCAAGGCTTTTGTATTGCCTTAAGGAGGTTTTCCACCAACTCCCTGTAGTTGTCTGCCCTGCTGTTTCCGAGAAAATTTGTTTGCACTAACTGGAAGGCATTCCATGCCGTCTTCTCTTTGCCACGCAGTGCACTGACAAATGCATCATCTCGAATAAGTTCACGAATGTGAGGACCAGGGTGGCGATAATGATCGCCACCCTGAAATGTGAATTATCAACCCAGATAAACACAGCGAACACAAAACAAAACGTTCAGCGTAACTGACTGGTATTGACCTAAACAACCAACATGCTAAAATAACTTACCTGCAAATAACGCAGCCCGCTATTCACTTCGCCACTGGCCCACCCTTGCTTTGTATATTTGGCGGGCGAACGCATTGCGGGTTGCATTAACAGAGCCTCTCAATGCTACTTGTTGCAAGAGGATCACGGTTAGAATCCAGCGGCCTCCCCGATGTAATACTGCGGGTGTGGCATTGTAAGAGCGCCTTCACTCAAGGCGCCTGACGTGCCACGTGCCGTACGCGTCACGGTGGTCGCCGAAGATGCCGTGACTTAATTCGCAAGGGTAAAGGCCATCGTGTGTTGGTGTCGTGGTCTCAACAAAACATGCAGCGCACATATCTACAGAGCAGCGATCGTCACTCACGGGACCCTCCTGAAAGAATAGTCACGAGATTCGGGCAGGCTTTTCTGGATAAACAAGCCAACGTGGAGCACGAGGGGGTGTGTGTGTGATCCACCAACCCTGACTGCCTCGAGAGCGCTGGACTACAGCCCACGTGCACAGCCACGCCTCCACCCATACCAAAAATAATATCCCCCCCTTTGTCTCCTTTAACAGGCTGTTGAGGCAAGCAAGACATGTCTCACCATATCTTGCTTCTGTCATATCTCACTCTGTCCCATCCTGTCCGCGATGCTCCCAGGCTCACACTGCCCCTCGATGCGCCTCCCTCGCCTCGCTGCGCCCAGTCTCGCTCTCTCGCTCCATCTCCCTTCTCGCCCCCCCCCCTTCACTTGAAACAACTCCCCCTGCAGCACTCGGAGCAATCACCTCCACAATAACCGGCTTCCGTTCCTCCCTTGAAATAACCACATCGCTTCTCCTCTCGCCCATCATCATCATCCTGCTACTGCTGCTACTCCCTGCCCCCACACGCAGCTTCGACCAGGCCTACCTCAACCCTTATCACTACCCCAACA